TTAGAAATACATTGGAATCGTAATCACGATCCAAATCATCAGATCTACAAATTTGTAGGTCTGATGAATTGGATTGTGATTACGATTCCAATGTATTAATTTATAACCATGGAATATTAGTGTTTGAGCCTTTTTTATTATATTTTATATATATATATATGTGTGTGTGTGTGTGTGTGTGTGTGTGTGTGTGTGTGTGTGTGTGTGTGTGTGTGTGAAAATATAAAAAAATAGGAAAGAACTGTTAGGTAAATAATCCAATGTTCTTTAGTATTTTTGTTATTATTTTTAAAAAATAGTGCTCGATACAAAAGTAGAGCATAAATATAATTATTTATTTAAAAATATGATTCCAACACTACATTTGAGTTCTCATATATGAGGACTCTTATGTAGCGTGTTGAATCATATTTTAAATAAATAAATAAATAAATAAATATATATATATATATATATATATATATATATACAGAAATATAGTTTTAAAGTGTGCTATATTTATGGGATATATATATATGTGTGTGTGTGTGTGTGTGTGTGTGTGTGTGTGTGTGTGTGTGTGTGTGTGAAAATATATAGAAAATAGGAAGGAACTGGTTAGGTAAATAATCCAAAGTCCCTTCGTATTTTAGTTATTATTTTAAAAAATAGTGCTCGATACAAAAGTAGAGCATAAATATAATTATTTATTTAAAAATATGATTCCAAATCGCTACATAAGAGGTCTCATGTTTCAAAACTAGAGCCGAAAAACTTCAATATAATCCTTTAAATTAAATTGAGTTGAAATTAAAATGGGCTCCGTTCCATCTTCAAGCGAAATTTTTGTTGGAATAACGTATATCTGAAATTTACTTGTTTTAAAAATTGAAATCAAAATCCCCATGGTAATAGCTAGGGCGAATTGTCTAAATTGGGTAGGGTGTTAATAATAAGTAGCGGTATAGAGATACTTTCAAGGTGTCAAGTCGGGGAAAGGTGGGGGTGTCTAAAATGAAACGGATGATGTATTAACCTTCATCAAGTTTGCTTGTCTATGGATATTTATTTATTTATTTTATTTTATTTTATTATGAAAGGGAATTGTGCATATAAAAAAAGAAAAACTTTCGTAACGTTTGTTTTTTAACGACTTCATAAAGGGTTATCTTTTATGTAAGGTATTTAAACTACTAATTTGGGCTATGGATTATGAAGTGTGTTATGTTGTATGCATGTTTGTAGTTAATTATTCCTACTATGAATCTGATGATTGGGCTATTTGTTAAACAAGTTATATAAAAAAAATTTTTTTATTTTTTTATCTAATAATACAAACCAAAAATCTGATGATGCCTACAAAAAAGCGTTAACTCGTGTCTATTATTTAATAGATTATTATTATTTAGAAGTTTAATAATGTGCAATTTTTCATGGAGGCACAAAGGGCATGGGTCATCCCAAGCTTTACATATTCTAGCCTTGTCAATAATTTTCCATTTAACTTTTGGTGTCTTATTTGTTTCCTTCAGGTGCCAAAAATATTTTGATAGTGAAGTCTGATTTCTTTTGTTTATATTATTAAAGGAGCACTTTATGCTGCCTCCATCTATCTTTAAAATTATTCTTCGTGGACCCAATGTATATCATATTAGTGCTAGGGCTCTCTCTGTGGATGAAATAGTACATTGGTATACCACAGAATTAATACAACATTTATTTTCTAATGGGCAGTCTTCTGGGTTTCTACAGTTACGTAATTTTTCCCTTTTATCGTCTGATTTAAGCAGAGTTTTATTAATACTGTTTTGGCATGGGGTTTGTTCAAGATCTTATTATTGTGTTTTTTATTATGCGTTCAAGATTATCAGAGCAGCTGTAGCTCAATTTTAGGGTGTTCTTATTGAATATATTACTAAGCTTACTATTGGTGGGGAAGCGTTTATTAATTAGAGCTAAGAATTTCTGTCCTAGTTTAATACTAACCCTTTGGTTGAACGGAGGGGTGTACCAAATGATATTTCTTTTCCTGTTTTTTTTTTTCCTATTTAATTTCAACTCAATTTAACTTAAATGATTATATTGAAGTTTTCGGCTCTTGTTTTGAAACATGAGACCTCTTATGTAGCGATTTGGAATCATATTTTTAAATAAATAATTATATATATATATATATATATATATATATATATATATATATATACAACAGAATTAAATGTAAGATATGTATATTTTATATATATATATATATATATATATATATATATATAGTATATTTTGGGATATTACATCAACATGCGAATAACCGCTACATAAATTCAATCATGTTTCAATGTGTACTAACACATCTCACCAGGCGTTTGTTCTACTTTTTTTAAATTAATGTTGCGAACGTTGGAATTTATATTTGATACGTTTTCATTTCATATATATATATGTGTATGTGTGTGTGTGCAACTGTGTGTGTGTGCGTTTTGTGTGTGTTTGTGTGTGTGCATGCGTTTATATATATATATATATA